CAAAAAGGAGACACAACATGTCAACGGGTAGGTAAAGGTGTTTATTTGCACAACACTGGTCAATTCAACCACATTGGTTATACTCATCAGAGCCGGGTGCCTGCAGGAAAACAGAGCGAGAGCAGACAGGAGCAGAGAGGCTTTAAAATAGCTGCAGAGCACCAGACCCAGGTGCCCTGAGTTAATGCAATCACTGCAATCAATGCAGCCAAGACAGGACAGCCACACCCTCTCCACTGATGAACCCACAGGGGCATCACAATGTGTATCGTACCGACCGGCCTAATAAAGGTGGCGGCGTTGCCATTTATGTTAAGAATAAGTTCAGTGTATCCACATTAGTTTCCAAATCGATCAGTAAGCAATTTGAATTTTTAGCCATAAATATAGAAGAGGCAAAGGGTCAACAGATCATGGTGGTGGGCTGTTACAGACCCCCCTCAGCTGTCAAAGACTCCTTGTCTTCACTAGCAAATCTTTTATCACAACTAGACTACAAGGAAATAGTGCTACTTGGAGATTGTAACTGGGACTGGTTAACTGCAGTGTCAGAGGATTTTAAAAACCTTTGTATCTCTTTAAATGTTACTCAGATTGTTGACAGTCCTACTCGCCCTAACATGAAGTCCCCTAATAAATCCTCCCTAATTGATCTCATTCTAACTAATGTTCCCTATAAATACTCAGCTGTGGGAGTATTTGCGAATGATCTGAGTGATCACTGTGTTGTGGCCACAATTAGGGACACTAAGGTCCAAAAGGTTAAACCTCGCATTATCATTAAGAGAGACAAAAAACATTTTGTGGAGCAGGTTTTGTGCATGATCTGTTTGGGTTTGATTGGGGTAAAATCGATCTGTGTGTTGATGTGGAAACCGCATGGGCTTATTTTTATCTTGGTTTTATGGAGATCATTGATAGACATGCACCCCTGCGTACATTTAGAGTAAAGGGACGAGACAATCCTTGGTTTTCTGCTAATCTGTCCAGTCTCCTTCATGAGAGAAACAAGGCCTGGGCAAAGGCTAGGAGATCAGGCTCAGAGGTAGAGTGGCTGCGTTTTAGGCAGCTAAGGAATAGCTTCACTTCAAATGTCAAAAGTGCAAAGTCGAAGTACTATCTGTCAGTTTCCACAGAAAACCTAAATAATCCTAGGAAATTTTGGAAAGCAATAAAATCGATATCCACCGGTGAGATCCGTAATGAGCTACCTCCGTGCCTCACCACAGCATCTGGCACTATATCGGACAGGGCTACTATGCTAAATTGCTTTAATAAGCATTTTGTGTCCTGCGGTTCTATGTTTGATTCTGTCACTAACTCTGCTTCTGTGAACACTACAGTCTGTGACTCTGAACAATGTGGTCTGGAAAACCCTTTCAGTTTTACTCCTTTTACTGTCAATGTTGTTCATGAAGCCTTATCTAAGCTAGATCCTAAGAAACCGGCCGGCCCGGACAACGTAGAGCCTTTCTTTTTAAAGATAGCTGCAGATTGTATTGCTCTTCCTCTCAGTACTCTTTTTAACCTCTCCCTCAGCACTAATGCAATTCCAAAAGTATGGAAGTCAGCGTATGTCCTGCCTTTGCTGAAAGGAGGGGAGGCAACTATTTTAAATAACTATAGGCCAATCTCTAAGTTGTCAGTTCTGGCTAAGGTTCTTGAACGCCTAGTGAGTGAACAGGTAAAGGAGTTTTTATGTAAAAATTACATCCTGTCTAAACAAAAAATGTGGATGGAGCTACTTTACATTTGTATGCGGATGATACCGTGATGTTCTGTGCAGGTCCCTCCATTCAGGAGGCTGGTGTTAAATTACAGGCTGTTTTTAACATTATTCAGACTCAGCTCTCTGAACTAAAGCTTCTTTTAAATGTTGATAAAACCAAAGTAATGCTCTTTTCTAAAGCTACAAAGACACCAGAGCCTGTTTTGGATATTGTTACTACGCAAGGACAAGTACTTGAAGTGGTTACCTGTTATAAATACCTTGGTATCTGGCTTGATGATTGTCTCTCTTTTAAACTTCATGTCAATAACCTGCTTAAAAAGCTGAGGGTTAGGCTAGGTTTCTTCTTCAGGAACAAGTCCTGTTTCTCTTTGAGGCCAGGAAAAGGCTCTGTGACCTTTTGACCTGTGCTGGACTCTGGTGATCTGGTCTATATGAATGCTCTGTGATACTATGGGTACTTGTAAATGTTGATAACTATGTAATTGTAGCATGGAGTACCAAGAAGTCAGTCAAGTCGCTTCAGCTGATTCAAAATGCTGCAGCACGTTTACTAACCAGAGTTCGGAAAAGCCTTACTTCTTCCTTCTCTCTGTCTGTACCTGTGTACTCATGTTCACATTAACCCAGCTTCCCCAAATTTATTTTTGGTGTCTATATACGCCGGGATCTTGAGTCATGGCTGATCGCGTGGCTGTGGTCCTGGATCATAGGTCCTGGATGGATATCCTCGTGGATTCATCTTCCTATTATACACACATGCATTTCCAAACATTTGGTCTACCTATGTTGCAAATGTATTATCTCTTCAATTTACACACGGCATCTATTGCACGTCTGTCCGTCCTGGGAGAGGGATCCCTCCTCTGTTGCTCTCCCTGAGGTTTCTCCCATGTTCCCTTAAACTGTGGGTTTTCTTCGGAAGTTTTTCCTTGTACGATGTGAGGGTCTAAGGACAGAGGGTCTGAGGACAGAGGGTCTAAGGACAGAGGGTCTAAGGACAGAGGGTCTAAGGACAGAGGGTCTAAGGACAGAGGGTCTGAGGACAGAGGGTCTGAGGACAGAGGGTCTAAGGACAGAGGGTCTGAGGACAGAGGGTCTGAGGTCAGAGGGTCTAAGGACAGAGGGTCTAAGGACAGAGGGTCTAAGGACAGAGGGTCTGAGGACAGAGGGTCTAAGGACAGAGGGTCTGAGGACAGAGGGTGTCGTATTGTCATACTGATATTCTGTACAAACTGTAAAGTCCACTGAGACAAATGTAACATGTGTGATATTGGGCTATAAATAAACATTGATTGATTGATTGATTGAATGATTGATTGATTGATTGATTGAATGAATGATTGATTGATTGATTGATTGATTGATTGATTGATTGATTGATTGATTGAATGAATGATTGATTGAATGATTGATTGATTGATTGATTGAATGAATGATTGATTGAATGATTGATTGATTGATTGAATGATTGATTGATTGATTGATTGATTGATTGATTGATTGATTGAATGAATGATTGATTGAATGATTGATTGATTGATTGAATGATTGATTGATTGATTGATTGAATGATTGAATGAATGATTGATTGATTATATGCCCTGTAACTAACTTGAAGTGAATATTTCCTCCCTTGTTGTTCAGAGTTTGGTTATTTATGGTTTTTGCACTTATTGTGAGTTTCTTTGGATAAAAGCGTCAGCTAGATGTAATGCAATGTTGTTGTTGTGTGTTGTTGTTGTTGTTGTTGTTGTTGTTGTTGTTGTTGTTGTTGTTGTGTACCTGGAAGCAGCAGGTTGACTCTGACGTTTCTTGAAGCCACTTCTTTAGCCAGAGAGCGAGTGAAACCCTGCAGACCGGACTTCGAGGCGCTGTAGACGCTCTGACCCGCGTTCCCCTTCAGACCCACCACAGAGCCTGGGACAACAACAACAACAACAAACAGGAAGGTTGTAAATAAGCTCTGGCAGCAAGCTTCATGTGTTCACTGCACTTAAAAGGTTAGAGGTACTTTATTGATCCCAAATTGGGAACTGCATTGCACATGAGAAGAAATTAAAGAGTAGAAATAAACAATAGTAGAATTAAACAGCTTTAAAAAGTAGAATATATACAGTCGACCGTGAAGATAACAAATCATATAAAACTTTATGTGAACATTAATGTGTAAAACAGGGTTAAAAAGAAACAAGATTCATCATTTTCCAGTTCTTTGTTTATTTTTAGGGTTAAAATAAATTAAATGTAATGGCCTCTAAATCCTAAAGTGATGCACGCTGCCCCCTAGTGTCCAGAATAAGAACCACAGCTGTATTTCCTCACCGATGTTGACGATGGCGCCGCCTGGTGGCCGCAGCATGCTGCGCAGCGCCGCCCTGCAGGTCAGCATGGAGCCCAGCAGGTTAGTGTGGAGCATAGAGACCATGAGGTCAGGGGGGGTCCTCAGGAGGAGGGAGTCCCTGCACACACACACACACACACACACACACACACACACACACACACACACCACACACACACACACACACACCACACACACACACACACACACACACACACACACACACACACACACACACACACACACACACACACACACACACACACACACACACCTCATATTCGTAAACCATATATATTAAACTGTTTACATAAAGTTGTATTTATAATAATAATAATATTTTTTATAGTGTAATTATAGTGCAGAGATGTGTCTGAATCCCCCATGATGCATCAGCAGCTCAGGTGTTCTCACCTGTTGATGCCGGCGGCGTTCACCAGGTACGAGACGCTGCCGCAGGTTTTCTGGATGGTCTCGAAGCTCCTCTGCACTTCCTGTTCTTTAGAGACGTCACAGCTGAGGGACAGGTGGTCTCCTGAAACATGGAACAAGTCAAAGTTAAACGCTGTCAGAACAATAAGTCGTGGAGTACTTAAGTGCAGTAACTAAGTATTTGTACTCCACTACTTCCCTTCTCTGGTCACATCTACTCTGAAGCTGCTAATGAGGAGAACGCTTTGAGACTTGAAACTTTTTGTTCCTGTCAGCTGTTTCTCACCAATACATCCCAGGTCTCAGATATATCCAGAGCCTGTCTCTGATTGGCTGAAACACCAAACAGATCATTGCAGCATTACCCATAATCCCCTCTGTTTCAGCCCTGTTTCCAAAGTGCTAATTCTCTGTCTGTTACTTTAGATGAAAATAAGGAGCCCCTCCCCACGCCCCTCTGAGAGAGATTTGGTTAGACATGGAGAAGAGGGGACACATGTTGATGTAGAAGAGACATGAAGAAGAGGGGACACATGTTGATGTAGAAGAGACATGAAGAAGAGGGGACACATGTTGATGTAGAAGAGACATGAAGAAGAGGGGACACATGTTGATGTAGAAGAGACATGAAGAAGAGGGGACACATGTTGATGTAGAAGACACATGAAGAAGAGGGGACACATGTTGATGAAGAAGAGACATGAAGAAGAGAGGACACATGTTGATGTAGAAGAGACATGAAGAAGAGGGGACACATGTTGATGTAGAAGAGACATGAAGAAGAGGGGACACATGTTGATGTAGAAGACACATGAAGAAGAGGGGACACATGTTGATGAAGAAGAGACATGAAGAAGAGAGGACACATGTTGATGTAGAAGAGACATGAAGAAGAGGGGACACATGTTGATGAAGAAGACACATGAAGAAGAGGGGACACATGTTGATGAAGAAGAGACATGAAGAAGAGAGGACACATGTTGATGTAGAAGACACATGAAGAAGAGGGGACACATGTTGATGAAGAAGAGACATGAAGAAGAGGGGACACATGTTGATGTAGAAGACACATGAAGAAGAGGGGACACATGTTGATGTAGAAGACACATGAAGAAGAGGGGACACATGTTGATGAAGAAGAGACATGAAGAAGAGGGGACACATGTTGATGTAAGAAGAGACATGAAGAAGAGGGGACACATGTTGATGTAGAAGAGACATGAAGAAGAGGGGACACATGTTGATGTTAGAAGACACATGAAGAAGAGGGGACCAATGTTGATGTAAGAAGAGACATGAAGAAGAGAGGGACACATGTTGATGTAGAAGGATACATGAAGAAGAGGGGACACATTTTGATGTAGAAGAGACATGAAGAAGAGGGGACACATGTTGATGTAGAAGAGACATGAAGAAGAGGGGACACATGTTTGATGTAGAAGAGACATGAAGAAAGAGGGGACACATGTTGATGTAGAAGACACATGAAGAAGAGGGGACACATGTTGATGTAAGAAGAGACATGAAGAAGAGGGGACACATGTTGATGTAGAGAGACATGAAGAAGCAGGGGACACATGTTGATGTAGAGAGACATGAAGAAGAGGGGGACCACATGTTGATGTAAAGAGACATGAAGAAGAGGGTGCACCATGTTTGATGTGGAAGAGGACATGGAAGAAGAGGGGACACATGGTTTGATGTAGAAGAGGACATGAAGAAGAGGGGACACATGTGATGTGGAAAGAGACCATGAAGAAGAGGGGACACATGTTGATGTAGAGAGACCTGGAAGAAGACGGGGACACATGTTGATGTAGAAGAGAATGAGAAGAGGGGGACTAACATGTTGATGTTATGAAGAGACATGAAGAAGAGGGGACACATGTTGATGTAGAAGAGACATGAAGAAGAGGGGACACATGTTGATGAAGAAGAGACATGAAGAAGAGGGGACACATGTTGATGAAGAGGAGACATGAAGAGAGGGGACACATGTTGAGTAGAAGGAGACATGAAAGAAGAGGGGACACATGTTTGATGTAGAAGAGACATGAGGAAGAGGGGACACATGTTGATGTAGAAGAGACATGAAGAAGAGGGGGACACATGTTGATGAAGAAGAGACATGAAGAAGAGGGGACACATGTTGATGAAGAGAGAGACATGAAGAAGAGGGGACACCTGTTGATGTAGAAGAGACATGAAGAAGAGGGGACACATGTTGATGTAGAAGAGACATGAAGAAGAGGGGACACATGTGATGTAGAGAGAGACATGAAGAAGGGGACACATGTTGATGTAGAAGAGACATGAGGAAGAGGGGACACATGTTGATGTAGAGACAGACATGAAGAAGAGGGGACACATGTTGATGAAGAAGAGACATGAAGAAGAGGGGACACATGTTGATGTAGAAGAGACTGAAGAAGAGGGGACACATGTTGATGAGAAGAGACATGAGGAAGAGGGGACACATGTTGATGTAGAAGAGACATGAAGAAAGAGGGACACATGTTGATGTAGAAGAGACATGAAGAAGAGGGGACACATGTTGATGAAGAAGAGACATGAAGAAGAGGGGACACATGTTGATGAAGAAGAGACATGAAGAAGAGGGGACACATGTTGATGTAGAAGAGACATGAAGAAGAGGGGACACATGTTGATGAAGAAGAGACATGAAGAAGAGGGGACACATGTTGATGTAGAAGAGACATGAAGAAGAGGGGACACATGTTGATGAAGAAGAGACATGGAAGAGGGGACACATGTTGATGTAGAAGAGACATGAAGAAGAGGGGACACATGTTGATGAAGAAGAGACATGAAGAAGAGGGGACACATGTTGATGAGAAGAGACATGAAGAAGAGGGGACACATGTTGATGTAGAAGAGACATGAAGAAGAGGGGACACATGTTGATGTAGAAGAGACATGAAAGAAGAAGAGGGGACACATGTTGATGTAGAAGAGACATGAAGAAGAGGGGACACATGTTGATGAAGAAGAGACATGAAGAAGAGGGGACACATGTTGATGAGAGAGACATGAAGAAGAGGGGACACATGTTGATAGAAGAGACATGAAGAAGAGGGGACACGTGTTGATGTAGAAGAGACATGAAGAAGAGGGGACACATGTTGATGTAGAAGAGACATGAAGAAGAGGGGACACGTGTTGATGTAGAGAGACATGGAAGAAGAAGGGGACACCTGTTGATGTAGAAGAGACATGAAGAAGAGGGGACACATGTTGATGTAGAAGAGACATGAAGAAGAGGGGACACGTGTTGATGTAGAAGAGACATGAAGAAGAGGGGACACATGTTGATGTAGAAGAGACATGAAGAAGAGGGGACACATGTTGATGTAGAAGAGACATGAAGAAGAGGGGACACGTGTTGATGTAGAAGAGACATGAAGAAGAGGGGACACATGTTGATGTAGAAGAGACATGAAGAAGAGGGGACACATGTTGATGTAGAAGAGACATGAAGAAGAGGGGGACACATGTTGATGAAGAAGAGACATGAAGAAGAGGGGACACATGTTGATGTAGAAGAGACATGAAGAAGAGGGGACACATGTTGATGTAGAAGAGACATGAAGAAGAGGGGACACATGTTGATGTAGAAGAGACATGAAGAAGAGGGGACACATGTTGATGTAGAAGAGACATGAAGAAGAGGGGACACATGTTGATGTAGAAGAGACATGAAGAAGAGGGGACACATGTTGATGAAGAAGAGACATGAAGAAGAGGGGACACATGTTGATGAAGAAGAGACATGAAGAAGAGGGGACACATGTTGATGAGAAGAGACATGAGGAAGAGGGGACACATGTTGATGTAGAAGAGACATGAAGAAGAGGGGACACATGTTGATGAGAAGAGACATGAAGAAGAGGGGACACATGTTGATGTAGAAGAGACATATGAAGAGAGGGGACACATGTTGATGAAGAAGAGACATGAAGAAGAGGGGACACATGTTGATGTAGAAGAGACATGAAGAAGAGGGGACACATGTTGATGAAGAGAAGAGACATGAAGAAGGGGGACACATGTTGATGTAGAAGAGACATGAAGAAGAGGGGACACATGTTGATGTAGAAGAGACATGAAGAAGAGGGGACACATGTTGATGTAGAAGAGAATGAAGAAGAGGGGACACATGTTGATGTAGAAGAGACATGAAGAAGAGGGGGGACACATGTTGATGTAGAAGAGACATGAAGAAGAGGGGACACATGTTGATGAAGAAGGAGACATGAAGAAGAGGGGACACATGTTGATGAAGAAGGAGACATGAAGAAGAGGGGACACATGTTGATGTAGAAGAGACATGAAGAAGAGGGGACACATGTTGATGTAGAAGAGACATGAAGAAAGAGGGGACACATGTTGATGTAGAAGAGACATGAAGAAGAGGGGACACATGTTGATGTAGAAGAGACATGAAGAAGAGGGGACACATGTTGATGTAGAAGAGACATGAAGAAGAGGGGACACATGTTGATGTAGAAGAGACATGAAGAAGAGGGGGACACATTTTGACTGTAGAAGAGACATGAAAGAAGAGGGACACATGTTGATGTAGAAGAGACATGAAGAAGAGGGGACACATGTTGATGTAGAAGAGACATGAAGAAGAGGGACATGTTGATGTAGAAAGACATGAAGAAGAGGGGACACATGTTGATGTAGAAGAGACATGAAGAAGAGGGGACACATGTTGATGTAGAAGAGACATGAAGAAGAGGGGACACATGTTGATGTAGAAGAGACATGAAGAAGAGGGGACACATGTTGATGAAGAAGAGACATGAAGAAGAGGGGACACATGTGATGAAGAGACATGAAGAGAGGGGACACATGTTGATGAAGAAGAGACATGAAGGAGGGGGACACATGTTGATGTAGAAGAGACATGAAGAAGAGGGGACACGTGTTGATGTAGAAGAGACATGAAGAAGGGGACACATGTTGATGTGGAAGAGAGACATGAAGAAGAGGGGACACATGTTGATGTGGAAGAGACATGAGAAGAGGGGGACACATGTTGATGGAAGAGACATGAAGAGAGGGGACACATGTTGA